GGCCTGCCGAAAGAGATCCATCTTTAGTGCCTTTTTGAAACTACTCAAGCTTGTGCCTGTTTTCAAAGGCAGTCTAACATATACTGTAATAATTCATATTACCAGGCTACCAGAACATGAGGCTAGCTGGGTGTTATCAACATATTAGTGATTGCTCTGACCACATCCCCAGATAAACTCTCACAGTGGCCTCATGCCTATGCCAAAAAGAGTGGGGGATGAAAAAATAGGAATCCCACAGCACGTGCCATTAGGAAAAGCAACAATCCCCCAGCATGACCTTAAGTGGCTACATCAGTAGTAGTAGTATCAGTAGTATAATGTATTGCCCCATGTAGCAACTGAGACGACTTACCAGGAGGATATAATGGTTGATGTTATCAAAAATCTGCTGATATATCTATGAGAACCATTCTTCCCTTCACAGAGGGCTCATCCTGCCAAAGTTGGGGTGATGTATCCCACCTTTTTGGACTATGAATAGCCCCTTCTTTTCAAACACATCTATTTTAGTTTGCTGCTGCAATTTAACATTATCCAATCTGGATTTGTTACTACACAAATCTACTGGTGCATTACCTTGGTGCCTCCTCCAAGAGAGTAATTTATGGTTTGTGTTATATAATTTATAGACGATGAATAATTTATCACCTTTAATGGGAAGGAGAATAATAATACACAGGAATTTTTCTGAGTCACAACAGTCAAATGTTTCCCTTTCTGCAGAAGATAATTCCTCTTGTATGAGGCAACAGGCCAAAATAGAACCAAGTTGCTTCATCTATAAAGAAGTGCTGTTTGATTTTGATGAGCTTCTTTCTTAAACACATGAAATCAGTATGTAACATACTGGTTAGCAAAATATACTTGATTGACTAATAAAATATCATATAGAAGAACAACAGCCAGAATAAAATACTGTCACTTGTTTGTCTGCCGTCTGATTATGAGAGGCGTATTACCTCAAAAGATCACTCTTGGTTATTATTACTATTTATAAATTTACCCTAGTGAACTTGCCTAAATCCAGTGAATATCACATGACCATACATTCCATTTATCTATTATTCATCATTTCCCCCTCCTAACAACCCTATAATAATTTTAAAGGGCTGAGTACTAAACCAAGGATTCTTTATTCTGAATTAACTCCAGAGCAGGCTTTACCCTTCCAGTCTGAATTAAGGATGCTGATGATATCATTCAATGCTCTAAATAGTTTTGGACCCTAGTATATGAAGGGACACCTCTCACTATATGAAGTTTTAAGTTGGCTGGGGAACCTTCTCTGGGTCTCATCAGTAAGGCCACGTACACTCTGAGAGGACATGGGACAGAGCTTTCTCAACTGTGGGACCCTAGTTGTGGAATACTCTTCCATAGGGTATAGTCACACTTCAGAATTAAAACAGTTTGACACCACTTTAACTGCCATGACTTATCCTACCGAATCCTGAGATCCATGGTTTGGTGAGGCACCAGAGCTCTCTGACCAGTCTGAATACCTTACAAAAATACAAATCCCAGGATTCTGTAGGAATGAATCATGGCTGTTAAAGTAGAGTCAAATTGCTTTAATTCTGCAATGTGGATACACCCCTAGAGGCTTGATAGATGCTAATGCTATTCTGGCACTGAGTTAAAAACATGGCTTTATATAAAAACCTTTTGGGGCCTCATGATTTCATTCAAATCTGCACATATGCATGATTTTAAATGTTCTTAAACTGTTTTAATGGATTTTAAATTGTCTTGCTGAAACTTGTTAAATATTTAGTATGTTTTAGTCTATTTTATTTTTACAGTCATTCATTTTACATTTTAAATTCATTAAACTGATTTTATTGTTCACTTGTCTGAATTCCATGATTAAGGTAGTTATATAAATATTTAAATAAATAAATACATAAATAAATAGGTCCCAAATTCCCCTCACTCTCGAAATATGAAATGGTGTCCTTGTTATGTAATGCAAACACTGAATGAATAGACTTGAGTCAATTAGTCAAAAGGGCATTAAAATTCTGAGTCTAAAATTTAAACATACATTTCCTTTCATGTTTATTGCTAGTTTTAGGTTGGGTACAATAAAATCTGAGTGGAACACTAGTCTTTCAACAAGAATACTCTGGCTTCTCCCACTCCCCACTGTAATTCCTGTACCCCAAAAAAGAAGAAAAAAGGATTGCACACCCTCCAGCTGCCCCAATTTGGCAGGGACAGTCCTGATTAATTCCCTGGTTTACCACAATTTTAACTGCTTTTAAAATGTCCCAGTTTCTTTCTCCTCCTCCCACCTTCCTCCTTCTTCCTCTGCTTACTTCAATTGCTGCAAAATGAGTTCAAAGTAGAAAAGTAGCTTGTACTCAACTGAGCCAGGAGAGAGAGCAGGATCTTGCTCTTCCCTGTAAACTCAGGGAAAATCAGACTGCTTTAGTTTATCCTTACTTATTAATTACTTTTGCCATCTTGATAATTCTCTGATGTTGCTTGCCTATGCATGTCCTGGTTTTCATCTGTGAAATATTGGAAGGTATGGGCTTCAAGGATCCTCTTTAATGACATAGGTTGGAGCATGGAGGGGGCCAGGCTGTATTTATATGAGGCTGCCTTTCTTTTAATCTTGAGATTGATATCAATATCTTTTGTCATAATGTAAACAAATAGTTAATGATGTCAATGAAAATTCACATGTCATCAAATCTTGAATGACAGCCACATTCTGCCTTAAAAAGAAAACAGCAATAAGAAAATGAATGTGCTATGGGTTCATCACACACAACCATTATTTAGGATTGTTACTTAGATGAGCATTCTCTTCCCCATCTTGTGTCAGAAATGTTTGTCACCAAACAAATAACAAATAGTGTTACAGCAGAACTGTATCTAAATTAAAAATAAATGGAAGTTCAGAAAATCAGCTGTTATGTAAGCTCTAATTAAAAACTTTTCTAGTGTAAAAAGGTAATCACAGTTTTGAATCCAACAAATCCAGGTGTCCTTCCATGTCCTCTGCCAAGGCACAAATTTCATGAAGCTTCAGCTGACAAGGAGAAAAGAGAAATGTGTAATGTTTGTAACAGGATTATAATTCTCAGCAATTACAAGCAAAGCAAGATTGCTTCTAACTATATTAACTTCTACCTCCATACACATCTATTCATAAGTAAGTATCATTTATTTTATTGGAGTTTACTAATAGGTGTATGAAGATTGGATTGCAGGCTCAGGCACAAGGGTTACTACTACCACAATGTTATGTGCTCATAGAAACTCTATTCATTTGTTTATGATCAGCTATTCATGCAGTTTGAGCAGATGCAATATACACGCCTCATGTATTAATTTGTGGGGAGGAGAAATCTAGCAGGTTCAAGAGATAAATGTATTGATAACTATTGGGTAAATGCCAAAGCAAATAACTTTTCCTCAGGGGATGAAAAATGGGGGTTATTCAATAATAATAATAATAATAATAATAATAATAATAATAATAA